CTTGCCCGCCTCCATCCCAACTCACGAGGAGGCGAAGGGACCTCACCAGAGGCTCGCTCAGACAGCGCTTGTGCGTGTTTTGTTTTTTGTCCATCTATATTTTTTAGATATAAAAAAATACTGATCGGCGCGGGCGGGCCCTCGCACCCCCCCCTCCCAACCCGTGGAGTAGATCTTGGCTGCTCTGGGCGTCTATTTCAGGCAGGTTAAGTCCGAAAGCTCGCCACTGGATCACCCTGTAGTTGAAAAGGGGTGGGGGTCCGAACCCCCCCCCTCCTCCCCTTCAAAGGGGGGGTGAGATCTTCGACCCCCTCCCCCCTCCCCGGGTTCCGACCCCCCCCTCCCCCCCGTCCCCTTTGAACGGGGTGGGTGGGTTCCGACCCCCCCCCCGTCCCCCCTTGGCGCTGGAAAGGGGGGGGGGTCGAACTCTCCCTCCCCCCTCCCCCTCTTTGCGTCGAACAGGGAGCCGGGGAGAGGGCCTCTCCCGCAAGGGGGGGGTCCGGCCTCGGGATAGTGAGTAGTGAATAGTGAGTAGATAGTAGTGAGTAGTGAGTAGTGAATAGTGAGTCGCGTATAGGGAACTGTGAGTAGTGAGAGTGCGGGGAGTAGGGGAGTAGAGTAGTGAGTAGTGGGGAGGAGTAGGCAGTAGTGAGTAGCGAGTAGGGAGTAGCGAGTAGTGAGTAGTGAGTAATGAGTAGTGAGTAGTGAGTAGTGCGTCGGGAGTAGGGAGTAGTGAGTCGTGAGTAGTGAGACGTGGGAAGTGAAAAGTGGGTATTGAGTATTGGGCAGTGGGTAGTGCGTACGGAGTAGCGAGTAGTGAGTAGTGGGTAGTGAGTAGCGAATCGTGAGTTGTGAATAGTGAATATTGAATAGTGAGTAGTGAGTATTTACTTGTGACTAGTCACTAGTGCGTTGGGAGTAGCGAGTAGTGAGTAGTGGGTAGTGAGTAGTGAGTAGTGCCTTGTTTGTAGTGAACATTGCGTAGTGAGTAGTGAGTAGGGAGTCGTGGGTAGTGAGTTGTGAGTATTGAGTAGTCAGTATTGAATAGTGAGTACTGAGCAGCGTAGCGACTTGTGACTAGTGACTAGTGGGTAGCGAGTAGGGGGTAGGGAGTAGCGAGTAGTGAGTAGTGAGCAGTGAGTAGTGTGTAGGGAATAGGGAGTAGCGAGTAGCGAGCAGCGGATAGTGAGTAGTGAATTGTGGGCACTGAGTAGTGCGTAGTAAACTGTGAATCCTCACTAGTGAGTAGTGTATTTTGGTGGTGGGTAGTGAGTAGTGCTTAGTGAGTAGTGAGTAGTGGGCAGTGAGTCGTGTTTAGTGAGTAGTGAGTATTGAGTACTGGGTAGTGATTAGTGAGTAGTGAGGAGTGAGGTGGGAGTAGTGAGTAGGGATTAGTGAGTAGTGATTAGTGGGAACGTAGTGCGTAGTGAGTACTGGGTAGTGAGTGGTGCGACGTCCCTCCCCACAGTCATCGTGCCAGCGCAAGGAATGCCGAATGAGGAGCGAAGGGGATGCTCGTCGTGGGCGGCAGACATGCTCGTACCTGCGGCCTCGCGGGCTGGGCCCCTGGGCCGCGACCCCGCGGATACGGCGCGTTTTTTTTTGCGGACGCCCCGCGCGCAGCGCATCCGCGGGATCGCGCAGCCGCGGGATCGCGCCCCGGAGCCCAGATCGCGAGGGGCGTCGCCGATGGGCGGTGGGCGAGCCTCCCCGGGCGGAGAGGAGAAGCGCATCGACAAGCTGATCCGCGTCCTGGTCTTCTGCACGGAGCGGGCTCTGCCCGCCCCCCCAGGGGCTCCAGAGTGCGCGCGCGCCCTCCTCTGCGTGGCGCATCCCGTGGGCGGGAGCCGCCGCGCCTTCCTGCGGAGGACAGGCGTCCCTGAGGGCGACGAGGCCCATGCGCAGCATCCCGCAGCTGCGGATGTGAGGGGGCGGGCGCGGGTGGGTCGCGGGGTGGTCGCGGGGTGGGTCGCGGGGTGGGTCCCGGGTTGGGTCGCGGGAGGGTCGCGGGCGAGGGCGACGACAACAAGAAACGAAGGACACAACGAGAAGAATCTAGACCGCGGATTCTCAGTTCAGCCACGCACCCAGGGGCCGGGTAAGACCGTTCGGCCCCCTCACTCTGACATATCCGCCGCCACTGGCCAGTTCCATCCTGGGTTTGGTATACACCGCTCCTGGCCCCAAAAGGGGCCTGCCTAGCGGCAGTGGATAGTCGGAGCAGATGGGGTCGGAGGATAGCGCTGATTCGTCGATGAATGGGCGATGCGGCTCGATGTGGAGCCCGATTTTCTTCACACCGATGCCGCCGAGGCATCGACGATGCGACGCGATCCTCTGACCCCATCTGCTCCGACTCCATCTGGGAGGCAGCTACACTTGCGACTCCTACCCCTGCCGGCCCAGTCGACGCTGGGGTATCGCACACCCCGGCTGTGGTTCACTTGGCTGCTGGCATCCTTCGAATCCTGAACCCTGGCTGGCGTTTCAGAGATCTTACGTGCAGGGGTATGGCTCACGTCTGCTCGCCTATCCTGGCCGCCCTTCCAGCCAGCTCCAGCTCGAGCCTTGCACCCTCTCTCTCTCGAAGGAGGAGGAGGAGGAAGAGGAGGACGGAGGAGGAGGAGGAGGAGGAGGAGGAGGAGGAGGAGGAGGAGGAGGAGGAGGAGGAAGAGGAGGCGGAGGAGGGGAGGAGGTGGACGGAGGGGAGGGAGGAGGAGGAGGCGGAGGCGGAGGCGGAGGCGGAGGCGGAGGCGGAGGCGGAGGCGGAGGCGGAGGCGGAGGCGGAGGCGGAGGCGGAGGCGGAGGCGGAGGCGGAGGCGGAGGCGGAGGCGGAGGCGGAGGCGGAGGCGGAGGCGGCGGCGGAGGCGGAGGCGGAGGCGGAGGCGGAGGCGGAGGCGGAGGCGGAGGCGGAGGCGGAGGCGGAGGCGCAGGCGGAGGCGGAGGCGGAGGCGGAGGCGGAGGAGGAGGAGGAGGAGGAGGAGGCGGAGGAGGCGGAGGAGGCGGAGGAGGAGGCGGAGGAGGAGGAGGAGGAGGAGGACGAAGAAGAAGAATACGAGGAAGAGGAATAATAATAATAACAATAATAATACCAATAATAATATTAATAATACTAATAATACTAGTAATACTAGTCATAGCAAAAATACCAATAATATTACGAATAATAGTAATAAGACGAATGCGACGCCGAATAAGAACACTAGGAACAATAATAATAACAATAAGAAGAAGAACACGACGAATAATAAGAATAATAAGAGGAACATGACGAAGAAGACGAATAACAATAGTACGAATAATAAGAGTAATAATAACAATATTAAGAATAATAAGAAGAGTAATAATAGTAACCATAATAAGAATAATAATACGAGGAATAAGAGTACTATTTTTTTATAATAATAAGAAGAAACTAATACTACTAAACATACTAATAATAATGCTAATAATAATACTAACAATAATAATGTACTACTAATAATAATACTAATTATAATACTAGTAATAATACGACTACTACTAATAATACTAATATAACTAATACTACTAATCATATTAATAATATTAATAATAATAATCATACTGATAATAACAATAATATTAATACTAATACTATTCATAATACTACTAGTGCTAATAATAATAATAATGCTAATAATAATATTAATAATAATAACAATAATAATATAAATCATAATATTAATATTTTTAATAATTAACTAATTACAACTACATTATAATACTAATAATAATAATTTTTAAAAAAATTAAATAATTAATTATTATTATTACATTATTATTTATCATATTTATCAAAAGATGTATCAGACTCGCTAATTAAATTTATTAAATAATATTAATTAATGATAATAATATTTACATAACATTAAATATAATAATTATTACTAATACTATAATAATTTACTATAATAATAATTAATGATTAAGATGGGCGATGGGAGAATAATTATTAATATATATAATAAGAAAAAGAGGAGGAGGAGGAGGAGGAGAGGAGGAGGAGAGGAGGAGGAGGAGTGAGGAAAACGGCACAAGCATAACCTTTATAAGGCCCGCGTGGATTTCTGGGTATCGGCGCGGGACCCTCCTGGCGGCGCCTCGGGCGCCGCCCCTGGCGCGCCCCGCGCCGATCCAAGAAATCCACGCGGAGCCTCTTCAGGCCTCTTGGGGGGACCTCTTGGCGCTTCTGGCTGCTTCTTGAAACGGGGGTCTCGAAACGTCGGTTCGTGGCCCCCCCTCTGGAGCTCCTCGTCGGGCGTTCTGGGGGCTCTCTTGGGCGTCGTGGAGGCTTCTTGTGCTTGTGCAGTCTTGGGGCCTTCTTGGGACGTCTCGGGGCGCTCTTGGGGACCCCTTGGGCCGTGCTGTGGCGGTCTTCGCTGCCTCTGGGGCCGTCGTGGAGCGGCGGGAACCAGAAAACGCGAGAACGCCCGAATCCTCGAAAAACCCACGGACAATCTATGAATTTTGCCTCTTGGGTTAATCTTGAGGGTCTGTTGGAGGCCTCTTGCAGCGTCTTAGAAGCGTCTCGGGCCGTCTTTAGGTACTGTTCCTGCTGCGCTGCTTCTCCACGCTGTACAGACGCCACGTTGTGAGACTGGCCGCAGCGTGGCATCTCCTTTTGCTGCTGGTCAAACAGCCCGGCACAGAAATCCATCCGTGCAGATGCCACGCCGAGGCCTCCGAACGTGGCAACATGGCCTCCGTCTCACAGCGCGGCATCTCTACATGTGCGATATCAGGGGAGGAGGAGGAGGAGGAGGAGGAGGAGGAGGAGGAGGCATGTGGGGAGGAGGAGGAGGAGGTGGAGGAGGAGGGAGGAGGAGAAGGAGGAGAGGAGGAGGAGGGAGGAGGGGGAGGGGGGAAGGTGGGAGGTGGAGAGGAGCAGCGTGAGGAGGCGCAGGAGGAGGAGGGGAGGAAGGAGGAGGAGGAGGAGGAGGAGCGAGGGGCGGGGGAGGAGGAGGCGGGATCCCCTCCCAGGAGCATGGTGCGGGCTACGCCTGCGAGTCCACCAGCGTGGCAGGGGTAGAGGCTGAGGAGGTGGAGGAGGTCGAGGAGGAGGTGGGGCGCCCGGGCACGTCTGGGGCGTCTTCGCGGACTCGGGGAGCCCAACGAATAGACCCCCCCCATCCACCCACCCCTGCCTCGACCCCTGTTTCCCCGTTCTGTTCCCGCCTGCCGCCCCCTTCGGCCCTCGCGGTGTCCCAGGTCTCGCCCCTCTCGCCCCCTCCGTGCCCCCCTCACGGGGACGTGGAGGTTTTTTTTGTGGCCCCCCTATCAGGCGTGCCCATCCTCCCCTCCTTCCTGCCTTCGTTTTCCTCCACCTCCCTCTCCTTCCCTTCCACCCTTTGGTCGTCGCCGTCGTGGTCCTCTTCCTCCCTGTTCTCACCCCGTCGGCTCGATCCACAGATGAAGTACGGCTCGATCCACAGCAGGTACGATGGCACGGTCGCGATCGACGTGGACTCCCTGTCGATCGATGGCAAGAAGGTGGCGCTGTCGCACACCCGCGACCCAGTCAAGATCCCCTTCAAGGGGTACGGTGCGGACTGCGCCTGCGAGTCCACCAGCGTGTTCCTCCCCAACGAAGAGGCCCCGCCGCACCTCAAGGCGGGCGCGAAGCTGCAGAAGGAGAGGCCCCCTGAAAAGATCCGCGCCGAGATCCAGCGGCGCTCCGAGGGCGACATGAAGGGAACCCTGGGCTCTGCGACGTGCCCCATCTCCAGCACCTTCGAGTTGCAGGCGGGCATCGTGCTGGACTCAACGTTCATGAAGCACGTTGAGGATAAGGGCGAGGAGGACGAGGAGGACGAGGCTGAGGGGCAGATCGAGGAAGAGGCGGCGCGGTCCTCACCCTCCTCATCTCATCAGGCGCTCTTAAGCCAAAATGGCTACAGAGCCTCCTCCTACTCCCACGCCTACTTCTTCTCCCCCTCCCTCGACTCTGGACCCTTCCTCCTGGTCTCTTCCTTCCTCTGCTCCTCCTCGTCCTCCTCGTCCTCTGCCCCCTCTTGTCCGCCCCCCTCTCCCTTTTCTTCTCCCTCGCCCTCTTCGTCCACCCCCGACGCTCGACGATGGTTTTGGCACGCACGACGACGAGGCGGGGCTAGCATCCTCCTGGTCGTTATTGCCTTCCTTCCGGAAGCCTGGCGCGACGCGCGCCCAAATGATGAGCAACCCAATCAGCTGCCGGGCCTCTTGCTCGTCATGGGCGATGCCCTGTGGCTGCTCGCCCTGATGGTCCTCGCTGCCGTGGAGGTGTCAATGCGGGCGCGGGCTGCCGTAGGCGGTTTTCTCGCCAGGGGCTGGGCTGTGGCAGCCAAGATCGACGTGTCCCAGGGCTGGAGCCAGATTCGGATGTATGGCCAAGCTGCAGCCTACCTCGGACTTCACCTCGCCGTTGCCGCTCTTGCGGGCGCTATCGCGGGAGGCCTGCTCCACGCCTGGGCTTTCCCGGCTGCGCTTGCGCCTTCAGCTGCCCCAGCCGCTCTGGCTTGCGGTTGGAGCGCCCTGGACTTCGACGCGACTCTCGGGTATCCCGGCGAGGGCCCTGGCGCCGCCGGTGGTGCCAGCGGGGCCGCAGCAGCAGCAGGAGCTGAGTACCCTGGGCCGGTGGCTGCCGCAGAGAACGCCATGGACACTGACGGCCCCCCCGCGGTCGGAGTTGCCTGGACTCTCTCCCAACAGGGCCGCGGACGGCGAGCCCACTGCTGCGCTTGCAAGGCGGCGTTCACCATCGGCGAGGCGCGGCTCCAGACACAGGGTGGGAAACGTTTCTGCCACTGGCACTGCGCGGGCACGCGGTGGCGACGCTCGGCGACGCTGACCGGGGCCCGGGGGGTGCCCGAGGATGAGGTCGAACGCGTGCGGGCCCTCCTTGGCGAAGCAGCGGCGGTGCCTGAAGATGAGCCCGCGGCCTTCCAGCCTGAGGGGGTTCCCAATCCCCTGGCTGCTGCGCCTCACGGGGAAGGAGGAGGAGGGGACGAGGAAAGCCTCCAGCCCCCCCGCCTGGCCCGCATGACCTGGTGGGACAACGTGGATGTCCAGCACGCCCTGGGCCAACGGGTTGCCACCATGCGGCGCGTGCCCCCTGGCCTCCAATCCGCCTGGGCCGAAGCCATGGGCGCGGCGCTCCGGCTGAGCGTCCGCGGGAGCGACCCGCAGGAACGAGAGAGGGCTTGGAAGTTGGTGATGTTCGCTCCGCGCCTTGTTTTCGCTGCCACAGGATCACGCGGCGGCCGCGGAGCGAACGGCAAACGGGCGGCGCGCATCCAACATGACCTCGCCGCACGCCTGCAGGCGTTCTGGCGCGGGGAGTGGCAGGAACTTTGGGACGCAGCGCATCGGCGAGAGCTCCGGGTGGCGCCGGCGCGCGGCCAGGGTGGGAACATCATCAACAAGGTTCGCCGTGTTCGGGCCATGTTGGACGATGGACAGGTGGCGGGCGCGGTCGCCACCCTGCGCCAAACTGGGCAGGTGGCCACAGGACCTGGCACACGCGACCAGCTCCGAGCTCTCTTCCCAGAGCAGAACACGTGGAACCCGGGGCAGCAAAACGCCGCCGCAGCACTCCTCCCAGAAGACCCGCGCGAGGGCCTGAGCGATGCCATCGTCAAGGCCTTTCGGAAGGCGCGCTCTGGCCGCGCGCCGGGGCCGGATGGCAGTCGCAACGAATACTGGCGCGTGGTTGCCGCTGACGCCGACGCCGCCGCCGCCCTGTCCGACGCCGCCCTCGCGTGGGTTGAAGGCACCTCCCCGCCGATCGTGGACGTTTGGCTTAACACTGGGACAATCACGGCGCTCCGCAAGCCCGCCGGCGGGGTTCGACCCCTCGCGGTCCTCGCCCCCTTCCGGCGCACTGTCCTCACAGGCTTCGTCGCTTACACCGCGGATGCCACGCGAAGCGCCGCTGGCCCGCTCCAGTACGGACTCGGAGTGGCCGGGGGCGTGGACGTCCAATTTCGGGCTCTGCAGAGCGCGGTGCACGACCGGCCAGGGAGTCTTTTGATCGCCGTCGATGTCGCCAACGCCTTCGGCACGGTCTCCCGCCAGGCCGTCCTTGACTCCCTCAGCGCGGTTCTGCCTGAGTACGGCAGCCTGCTGGCGCGGCTCTACGCGAAGCCCGCGGTGGGCCTCTGGCGCGACGGGGAGGGTGATCTGCACGAGTTTAGCACTGGGTCCGGCGTGCCCCAAGGCTGCCCCCTCAGCCCGGCGGCGTACGCGGCGGCCCTCCACCGAACGACGTTGCAGCACTTCGCCAACTCCCCGGGGCGGCTGGTCACGGCGTATCTCGACGACGTCGTTGCAGTCGTGCCGGTCGCAGAGGCTGAGCAATTCCTCCACGACCTCTCCGGCAGACTCAGCGCCTGGGGGCTCGTTCTCAACGCGACCAAAACCAAAGTCTGGCTCCCCCCTGGCCACACCCAGTGCCCCCCGGCACTGCGGCCCCACGTGGTTGATGATCTCCGCGTGCTCGGGTGTGGCCTGACGCGCCGCCAGGACGACGACTGGGCGGAGCTGGCCGCCGGCTCCGGGGGCGGCGCCCGAGCCATGGGCAAGGTTGCGGAGGCCTTGGGGGTTTTCGGCCAGACCTTGGACGAGGCCGTGGCCGCCGGCCTCGGGGTCCAAGAGGCCGGCGCTATGCTCCGCTGGACTGCGCAGGGCCTGCCGAACCACCTCCTGCGCGCGCAGCTCGTGGACCAACGAGCGGTGCAAGCTTTCGACTGCGTCCTCCGGCGCCTATGGGACCGCCTCCTTAACGAGACCCAGACCGACAGGGAGTGGGCCCAGGCTTGCTTACCGCTCGGAGACGGCGGCCTCGCCGCAGGAGCCGCCGAACCCCGTCGGGAAGCCGCCCACGTGGCCGCCTGGTGCGCCGCGGCTCCGGCTGTCGCGCGCGCCTTGGGCATGGGCAGCGCAGAGGAGCTCCTTGCGAGGCAGGCCACGGGCACCCAGGGCTTCGCCGACGCTGTGGCTGCCTACAACACCAGGGTGGGCAACGCGGCTTACTACCTCCAGGTCTCGCTGGCGCAGGGCGAACGGAGCAGACAGAAGGACTTGATGCTGCCCGTCATGGAAGTCCTTGGCGCGCGGGCTAGGGCCGGCCTGGACGACCGCGCGCTGGGCCGCCTTCTGTCCTGCGGAGGCCCTGGGGCAGGGGCTTTCACGCTGTTGCCTACGGCGCCAGAGCACCGGATGGCAACCGACCTGTACCGACTTGCGTTGCGGAGGCGCCTCCAGATGGAGGGCCCGCGGCTGCTGAAGGGTCATGCATTGCAGACGCACTGTCAACACACATCCCGTGACGGGGTGGTTTGCGGAGCTTTGCATGAACCCGATCAGCATCACGCAATCGCGTGCGAGAGGGGGCCCACGCGCACTGCGCGGCACAACCGGGTCCGCGATTTGTTAGCGCGTTGGCTTGCCAAGCGGGTCCCGGGCCTGGTGCAGACCGAACAGACAGTGCCGCAGTGGACGCGGCGGCGCCGGGATCCAGAGACTGGCCAAGATCGGATGGAGCTGGCGGTGCTGGACGTTAAATGGTCCGAGAAGGGCGTGTGCCACGTGGTGGACGTGGTGGTCACTAGCCCAGACAGCGCTGACGAGCGCGAGGAGAGGGCCAGGGCGGCCCACGCGGGCCTTGCTGCCGAGGACGCCGCGCGGGGGAAGCAGCTACGCTACCCGCCTGGCCCAACGACGCCAGCCCTGACGCCTTTCGCCGTCGAGACAGGCGGGCGGGTCGGCCAGGCGGCCAGACAGCTCGTGCTCGACCGGCTGGACCACGCTGAAGGTGAGGCAGGGGCGAGCGCAGACGCCACTGCCTTTTGGCAGGAGCTCTCGGCCACGCTGCAGACTGCAGTGGCCGAACAGATCCTCGCCGCTCATAGGCCGCCGGCCCCAGCCGGAAGACGCTGAGCTGGGCGTGGCCTGGGTGTTGGCGGTGGTGGTTGAGGTGGTGCTTGAGGTGGAGGTTGAGGTGGTGGCGGAGGAGGAGGAGGAGGAGGAGGAGGAGGAGGAGGAGGAGGAGGAGGGGGAGGCCGCGGACGCATCCAGCTTGCGGGCAGAGGGCGCGCTGCTGAGGTGCTTGGCGCCCGGAGGACGAGGGCCGTCGCGCCCGGGGGCTTGCCGGAGGATGAGGAGGAGGCAGGGGGCGGAGGAGGCGGAGGCGGAGGACGAGGTCGACAAGCGGGCCCCGGAACGCCCTGAGGCCAGCATGAGCGGTTGGCGCCGAGGCGCCCGGAGACAGGAGGAGGGGGTAGAGGCGGCGGAACCAGAAGAAGAAGAGGAGAAGCGGCCGTGGCACGGAGGAGCACGTAGAGGCTGAGGAGGAGGAGGATGAGGCGGAGGCAGAAACAACAACCACGTTGAGACTGATGAGGAGGTACAGGTAGAGGAGGAGACGGCAGCCATTCCAACGCCACGACACGATGACCGCCCCCCGCCCCCCGCCCCCTCCTTCCCCCTCCCGGGCCGCCCTCGCAGGTGTGTTAATTTCGCTTGTTCCACTTCCCCCCCAGCCTGGGTCAGGGGCCGTTGCCCGCAGGCCGAGGGGGTGTATAGTGCTGCTGGGACTGGACGGCGCCCTCACACGCCTGACCCCGGTGGCCACCCATCCTAAAGAGGGCTGGGTGCCGGGGTCGCGGTGAAGCTGGAGGAGGAGGAGGAGGAGGCGGGGGAGGGATACCATGCTGGGGTCTGAAGAGACCCGCCACCATCTCCTGCTGGCGAGGTCGGCTACCTGATTCACCCGGGGGAGAGCTCAGGGCCCTGCCGAATTGCGAGACTGCCGAGGACTCCTGCTGTCGAACACGCGCGCACGCTGCCTGCGATGGACGTCGCCCGCGCCACCACATGCCCCGCCGTGAAGCAAGCGAGTCCTGCTGAGGGAAGCGGGTCCCGAGTCTGTTCGCCGCTTGCGGGCTCTGGGCGGCCTC